AAAATCATAATCCCCGATCCTCAATTTGGGTCACAACTTGCGAGAATCGACCACCACCACCCGCCACGATGTATCTTTCTAAAAAACTGCCGAACTCTCAGAACACACTCGGCTGCATTTATCTCGCGACATTTGCTCAAAAAACCTGTTGCAACCGAGAATTCACGTTACTACTCTTCCTTCTCCCCCTAAAACATGTTCTGTTAAGTCTCTCCGTTACCCTGTTCTCCAAACCAAACACAAAACGTAACAGGGAGAAAACCTCGGGCAGCGAGTGTGCGCCCGACAAACCAAGGCGGCGAGTCATAAATAGCTTACGCGGTGCTCCGTGGCACTTTCACATTCGCCGCGACCAGTGGGAAAAAAGAAGCATTATACCCGGCGCATACCTCCGTGTGCACGGCGTGCGTGGGGGGGAGGACTGAAATTACCCATGCCGCGAAAAATACGCAGACTGTATACAGCGTTGCACCCCAACGAAAATGGAAAAAATAATCGCTTCCCCCCAAATTTTATTAGTTTGAGATCCGTTTGGCCCCAAAATCGTTCGGATGGATTCAACATTCCATTAAATTGCGAGCAGCCTTTAGGACTATAGTGATAAGTTTCAGTGAATCTACTGAAAAAAAATGATTGTGATAAAAAATTACCCTACTGCAGCGTTCTAATAGATCACCTGAAGGCTTAAATAGAAAAACCTATATTCTATAATGTCTATCTATATACTAATCACTATTAGACTAACAAACAGCACAAGAGGTATTTGTTAGCACTAGTGTGCTTTAATGGAAAGTGTCAAAATTCCTACCCATCCACTATTGGGACCACTGTCATAAAGCCCGAGGAGTAACATAGAGGCTGTTTTTTTCTAACAAACTGCGTCTGACTTCTACCATAAATATCTTCGTTTTGTTCTGGCAGTCACCAAGCTCTACAGATCTTTTTTTTTTTCATGAACACAGAAGAACTTTCGCCAGGTTGAATTGTGAAAAACACCCTTCCTAAGTGTCAAACTCTGCAACAGTTCAATACATCCACACCCCCGCATAGCAACCAAAGAAAGATATCCAGCCATTTTTGCACCTGGGGGGCCGGGGGAAACTTCAATTACTACACTCCAGGTACAGCGTGTACACAGACAAAAGCTCTCTCCCCACACGCATCCTGAGGCAACACCCCAGTTGCAGTATTCAGGCAGAAAAAAGCAAAGATGAAGTGTTGACCCGCGGCCCGGCGCGCTCTGTGCTGTGCTCCCCCAAAGGTGGCAAGCAGGAAATGGCCCTACATTCGAAGAAAGGATGAACTACATCCACCGAACGAAAAAGACCTGCGCATGCCGCCCAAACATCCTGTTGGGGACAAAACCTGGTGTGCTAAGATCGGCGACCCTTCGCCCTGGCCAGGCTCATCGAATAGGACAGACGAGTACACGCGCTCGCCCAAGGGTAGCGGGCGGCTTTCCCGCGCTCTCCCCACCAACACGCACCCCAGGGTTTAATGAAAGCATACTTAGAGCTGTCTCCCGACCACACTCCCTGTCACCGACCTGCATCAGATGCATCCCGGGAGCGCAACAGATCCTCTCAGTGGGGCGCGCCGAAGAGACACGACTTTTCACACACGCACCCCAAATCCGCGGGAACAACAGACGCCACGGCAACTGCCACACACGGCAAATCACGCCTCACGCTGGAGCCCACGGCGACTGAAGCGAGCCTCCGTCAACACAACCACCTCAGTCCGGCTGCGACGCTGCATGTCAAGGCGAATCGTGGAACCCACCGGAGCAGGGACACAAGCCAGGGCGCAGCCGCCAGCACGTCTCGCTACACAACGCACGGCCGCGCGCACTGTTGACAAGTAGCGTGCTCACAAGTCCCTGGACTACCCTCCAATCAATGACTCCGAGCATCTACACGAGACTCAACTCCGGGAGTCTTTAATTATGAAGCACAACACACAAAAAAACAAAAAAATACTCATGAAGGTTAGTACACACACACATAAAATCACTTAATATACACAGAAAAAGAAATTCCAAAAAAAAACACACTCAAATTGCAGGAGCACTGAATACATCACTGAATTACACATAAAACAAACCTGGATCTTCAATGCAACCCACACAGTCTGATAGACAAATGAAAAAACACATTATACAGCAGTGGAAAAGAGAAAACAGGGAGCGCTCTGCTCCTTTCCACTTTCCCGCCAAAAACAGATTTCCATGAGAACTGAACAAGAACATTTGCGTTGTGTTTCCGCTTCTAGAGTGCTACCAAAGTTAGCCTTAAAGTTCAAGAGTTTGGTGCAAGGAGGCCTCGAGTGTTGAGCCAACCCGAAGAACCAAGTACTGACCGAACCGGAAGTAAGCCGGGCTTTTGTTTCCCCTTCGATTTTAAAAAGTCTGTGCACCCTCGGTTCATATAATACAAGCGAATAGATGCTCACAGACCACCACTTATGGTCTTCCTTATCTGTTGAGTTCTTCCCCCGCAATGCGGGAAACATGTTGGTTGCAAATGTAAGCCTTCCAATGTTGTAAACTATTGTAAAAGATCATTAAAATACGTTCCCTCCTGCTTATCTTAAAATCTAATAACATCCATTACGAAAATACCAAATAAAGGCAGGCAAGTAGTCACAACATGGTGGCGAAAACATAAATCATATCAAATCCAAAACTCCTAACATCAAGAATGCAGTCCGTTTTACGTAATCATCCCATCTCATAACGCTCTCATCTACCAATCAGCATTAAATCTAAATGGTTGCTTAAGTTCCCCACCCCCTATTGCAATCCTTCATGCCGGTTTCTAGTCCCACACAATCGGCTGTGGTAGCCTCCTGCTACGGCAGCAAAGCCAAACATAATGTTTGTCATTAGTTGATCAACAGAAAAGGCAATACGTTCATTCTTGAACCTTGGATGTTACTACTCATCTCTTCTCTGGACTGCACTTACACGGCCCATTTTTTCTCCAAAAAAGCTTTACAGACCATATCTCGGCCCTTCACTAAATAAGATCGAAGTATCTGTCCATCACAACCTGGAGCTGACTGCATTTGCTGAACAGCAAATTCGCATTCTTTGAAATCACGCTGCCCCACAGGAAAACCAATCGACGGAAAGTGGTCTTTAACTCCTTAAGACACCTTTTCTCCAAGAAAATGCTGGCAGGTTGTTAGGTCTGTATCGGAACCGTGACAAGCTCTTGTCTCTCCTCAAATCTTCATGGCTGGCCACCAAACAAATAGGTTGGACATAGATTCTGTCTAATTGGCTCGTTGTGTGCCCCAAATTGTGTTAACGGCTGTACTCAAAGAGGCTCAAAGCGAAACCCTGTTCAAAGCTTCACTATGTGAAGTTTTTTTCTTTCCCATCCTGCCCAAAAATTAGAAGACACACCAGCAAAATGATCAGATTTCAGCAACTAAGAATCAACAATATGTTCTCATACAAAAAAAATACCTTATCGTCACCAAACTAAAACAGAGGAGACGGGAACAGGGAGTTCAAAGAGATTAGTGAACAACACAACGACAACAAAAAAAAATCAATATAACATTAAACAACATGAATACAAAATTTTAAAAATAAGCTATCTAAATTTGAGGTGGTAAACCGGAATGAAAAACTTCCATTTATAAAGTGGGAAGGCTTTGAAAACAGGTTCCTGCCTCTGAGCGACAGCCTACACATGGGCAGACAACCGACGCCCAATTAGACACACATCCTAATTCAAAAACCCGTAATGTGGTGGCAAGGGCAGAGATGAGCAGACTGGACAGACCTGTAGCAGTCGGCACGGTTACAAACGCTAACACTGCACAATTTCTTGCTTGAAAGCAAAAGTCTCTATAGCGAAAACGTAACCACCCCGAGCGCACTGTCCTCCGATTTTCACCTGGAGAGTCTTCAAAAGAAATGCAACTTGGCATCCAAGCATGGCAGCACTCCCAGTTGTCAGGACAAAGATCAGTCCATTGAAGGCCAAGCAAAACAGATTTCCTGACAAGCTTCTGACAGGAAAGAATCCCTGCTAAGCTGCATCCAGCGAGAGCGAACAGTAAGTAGCCGGACTCCAACGGGTCACCGAATGAACCTGTTCCTTTCTTTAATCCAACTGAATGACATAAGCCATGGGCTATGTTGGCTGTGCTAAGGCATGAGCTACCAGCCAGGCGTCGTGTCGCGCTGGGAGCTCGCGAAACCATGAAACGGGATGGCAACTTAGTGGTGGGAATAGTCTAGCAGACCTAGATTACTTAATCTGATTTGATTCGGAGAGGGTTATCTGGCATATCGATTATCAAACGACGACTCCGCATCCTTGATAGTAGCGAAGGTTTTGGAATTTTGATATTTTATGTTTTGCTCAGCTGTGTGACCTACTTGCTGGCATTTTGATTTTAATGATTATAATTTAAATAAGCAAGGAACGTTCATGAATCTGTTTAGCCGAACCAGTTTCCATAATCGAGCAGCCCTACTATATCCTGACAGTAGAACATGAGAAAGAAAAATGTGAAAAATCTGGTTCCTCTGGCTCCTCCTAGCATTCCTAATGGCATTGACAAGAATCCAATCCTAATTCAGCTCAACCCTGACCCTAAACACATCATACACATCAGAGCAACAAAGAAAGGGTTACTTTTAGGCAATTCATTCAAGATTTATTGTGAACCCCTCGGAAAAAATACTTAGGTCCAGAACGCTAAGACCTCACTGGTGGGTACGGCCAATAAGAAGAAAGGGAACTCGTGGACAAAAATCAGAAGTGCTGGTACTCAATACTGCAAATAATTTGTGAATAAAAACAGAATTTCTGTTCCAACAGAAACAATATTTAATATATTTGGCAATATAAAAGAATTATGTATTTGTCACCTTGTGCTTTAGGAACTATAAAGGGCATTTTCATTATTTTCCAATATTGGCAAATCACTTAATCAATAAAATTAATCAGAAGCTTAATATCACCAATGAAAATTTTTGTTTGTTGCAGCCCCACTGATACTCTAATACAGCACTGATTCCATCAGTTCAACAAGTACCTGTGCTGCCATGTCCACCAGGTTGGGCAGCTTCAAACCTCGTCCCTCTCCATCCTTCAAGAAGTCCAGCAGGCTTCCTACAGAGACATAAACAGACGTCAGTCCGTGTGCACAAACCGTTTGTCTTAGATCCATCAGCGGTGCCCTATTGCACCCCCCCCCCATAGCAACTGTTTGCAATTCAGCAACCATCTGACAGCTGAATGTTTAGGAGACATGAGGTTTGTAATTTGCCTGTTCACTTCTACTTATTGCATCAACAATAATGACAGTTAAATCTGAAAATACAGGATTGAGGGACTTTATGATCACCACAAATACTTTTGACATTCATAAAATTTCACAGTGGATCTGTTTTTTGAAACACATCCTCCTCTCCAATGTAATGGGCTGACCTAGATGTGGCAGCCTCTGCATGCAACAGACACAGTGATGCACATCAAAGTTTCCATTCTTGTGTTCTTTGGTGTTTAATGTGCGTCCACAGCCCTTTCTTGTGGGGATTCTAAATTCCAGTGTATTTGAGGATTGTTTTGAAGGCCTTAATCATCTTCAGTCTCTTTGAAACAAAGGCTTTACCATAGCAGAACAGTTGCTATTATTCTGAGCAGAATGGAACAAAAACACTTCAATCAAAAACATTTTGGTGTGTCTGCATGCATGCTTGTGCACTGCAACATATACTTAAATACAAACACAGTAGAACGGGGCTTTAAATTTAGACCATTTTGTGTCAGTTTTTGCTATTGTGGCAACTCGGGTCAAACAAAGCAAAGGGTTTACTGTGGGTACTCGCGGTCCCCAGAGGATGATTCCAAAAGATTTCCGAGACCCATTGACTTTTCTTCTCATACCAACATCAGGGCAAAATTTCCACTGGCACAAATGCGCAGGCTTGGGTCGAGTTGGGGTCTTGTTATTTTCAAACGTAATTTAGTGAGTGCACTGTGACCATGTGTGTTATGTGTTGCAACTAGATACACAATGTCCAGGGCAAATATCAAAAGACACAGAGTGTAGCCAAAGTGTTGCATTAGCCTGGTGAGCTAACCATCAGTATTGGATGACGTAGCAAAAATATGGCTTCTGGTCCCAAGTCAGGTTAGGATCTCTAATTCAGCAGTACTAGTTGGAACCAGTCGAGCTGGGTCTTAAAGGTGCCGGAACGTGCCAGGTTCAGGTCGCTATAAATTCCTTGCAGAAGTTGACCCAGTGGGGCTGTATCCATATACTGTATATATGTTTGTGTTCATGTACCTTTGCCCATGTACTCTGTGACGATGTAAATGGGTTCCTCAGACACCACGGCGTAGAGCTGCACCAGCTTGTCATGGCGGAGTTTCTTCATGATCTGAGCCTCCTCCAAGAAAGACTCGGGAGACATGGTGCCAGGCTTCAGAGTCTTCACCGCCACCTTAGTGGTGCCGTTCCACGTTCCTGGCACACGCACACACAAGCTGGCATCAGTACAGAGGAACAACGATTCATATTCAAATCACATCATCTCAAAGGCAGACTTGACGACCCGACCGTCTAACCTGAGGAGATGATTGGAGGCTGAGAGTCGACTGCAGTCAAAAACAGGGGGACAAGTCTTGCTTTAAAATGACATTGTGGTAAACATGCAACACAGAATGAGATTGGGAGACTCTATGAGATCAGCTGCTCTGTAATTCTCATGCACGGAGGTTGTGCTGAAGGATAATTAAATGGGTACGAGATTTAGAATGGACCTTGATTTGAAATGGCTTTTAAAAGCCAGGAGAGGGATCCAGCAGGGCTTTGAGAGCCACAATACGCCAACACGGGAGCAGATAATCCTTTGTAGGATGATTAACAAAAGCAAGCCTGTAAGCTCCTCACTGGTTGCATGACAGTTACTGTCACACAACATGGCTATGCCACCATGTGCTCTGCCTCTAGCTACTGTGTCAGAGCATGCATAATAAGATATGGATCACTGTAATCACTCCAATAAAGTAGTACTCCATTTATCTCATTCTGTGACAGTAATGGATGCAGGAATATTAGTAGTGACCCAAAGGGAAGACAGAGCCTATCAGCTAACGGTTGTTCTACATGGGTTTGCTGGGTTTGGGGGTTTCATTTAAGAGTAAGCTCATAAATCAGAGTAGGCTTCTTTGGTGATGCAGCTGTGCACATTTTGGGAGTTGGGACCGAAGCGGGTGATGGTCACCTGCTGGGTTGTGAGGTAATAGGATCCCAGAGGCTGGGTGTCATCTGGGAGAGGCCCTATCATAAGTATCTGACCAGCTGGAATATGATAAGAACGCATAACCTCATGTACAGTATGGAAGTCGAAAAAGCTAAACATTGAGAAACAAATCATATATCTATAAGCAAATCATTTATCTTTTAAATTTTTAAAAACTCAGTCAAAAATCATTACTGTTAAAGTCTGAGACGATACAGAAGAAATGCTCTTTTGGCTTGCAGGCCTGTGGGCCATTTAGCATCTAAACTGACCAATGCGGATATTTGCAGGCATATAAGCTGTTTCAAAGTGCTTTAGCTGAATAGCTAATCAGCTACACACAACTAAAGTATTTTATTCTATTATGATTTTTTAATCAATATACTTGAAACATATGTCTAATATTACACCATTTTGGAGTCCAATACTGCAGAGCATACTAAATTAATTGCAGCAAATAATAGCAAAGAAATTAGCATTTAAGAATAGGAAATTATTTTTCAGAGTTTTACTTTGTGAAAAATATTTTGAAAAATTATAATGGATTATGTGTTATAATACAAACACAAAAATCCTACGGCAATGCTAGAGAGGAATAACATACCATTTCATCTCCGATTAAGAAACACAATTGCAAATGGTTTCTTGGTGCATTTAAGAATGCAGGGAAAAGGATAGAGGAAAATCTTCATATTTATTTCCTGGGTGGCTCAAGGGAAAAAAAAAAAAATAATAAAAAAATACTATGGGGTGGGGTTCCTTACCGTAAAACACATCAGCAAAACATCCTGTCCCCAGCTTTACTTCCAACTCAAGTGCTTCTCTGCTGATCTCCCAGGCATCATGACTCAAGCCCACAGTGTCAGGGATGTAGTTCACACACACGCCCGTTAAATTAAAGCACAAACCATCCGCACTCTCTACAGGGGGAGGGAAGGCAAGGCACACAGGGTTAACTACCGGGGAGAGGAACATGCAATGAGGGACGTGGAAGAGAGCCATCTTCAGACTGTGAGAACAGAGTCTCCTGACACATTGGATGTTTTTCCAGATGATTTTGGGAGGCAGGGCTCAGAAAACACAACTATTTCCCTGGCAAAAGCCCCAAACTGAGAATTATCAAAAATTTCCTGCCCCATTTTCTCATTTATCCCCTCCCAGGCCAGATTATTTGCTTGTGTTTTGAAGTCAGCCTGGTGTCTCTGCTGGCTCAGTGTGGCCCCCTTGCACGTGGCCCCCTTTTTCTGGAGGCGACTGGATCCGTACCCATCCAGACCTCCCCAAACTGCCCGTTCCCAAGACGCTTGATGAGCTGCAGCGACTCCCGCGGGATTTCCCACACGTCTTTGGTTTTGACAGACAGGTCGGCGAGGCGGGGCATCCCTTTGTGGCAGGGAACCACCAAGCGACAGCAGAGCCCGGCGGCTCGGTCTGCACGCGCCGCGCAGCAATGCACGAATAAGAGCATAGAGAGAGAGATGTACAGAGAGTTAGCAGAGCGATCTGCAGGAGAGGCTCAAAGCAACACAACAACTGGAAAACAAAGAGCAGAGTAAACAGGAAAGCTGGAAATCACTTCCTGGATGGCGCACAGTCTGTTTCCAGGTCAGGGGTTCCATCAGTCCAAATGTGTTCTCCATTATCCTCACTGATCATCCAATAAACAAGAGTGCTGCCAGGTCATCCATCTCAGCACAAATAAAATGCTACTAGGAGTTAATCTGCAGGAGCCAGTGAGATAGAGGTACTGTCTCACCTTAAAGAGGAAATCCACTGATTTCACACATCGACATCAGTCTGCAAGTTGTGGAAATTGCTACGCAACCTGTGAAAACACTATTATATTGTGTTCTGCAGCACTGGTGGAGCCTTGTCAAGTCTACAAAAATAACCCTGATAATGGCTTTTGTTAGGCAGGTAGGCCCTACTCTATGGGAAATTCCCCTCCACCTTATTGAGAGGCGACACCAAAGAAACTGCATCATATGTACAATGTTATTAATGGGTATGCTCCTCAATACTACTGCCTCAAGTAAATGTAGCCAGAAGTTTTTTCTAGTTGGGTAACAGTATTTTATATTATTATTATATTATATTTTAACAATATTATTCACTGTATTGGTATATGTATAGATATTTTTGCTGTGGCCCTGTCTTGCTGAATGAAGACACAGGAAAAGTATTAATGCTGCTGCAAAAGCTAGAGTACCAAAGCAGCAGTATGAGTGCAGGTCATAGAAAAAGTATAAGCTCTATCTATGTTATGGCTCACTTTGGCTAATGGCCTGTACTTTACGATAATGACTGTAATTTATGTAAAGAGATAGCTCCGGCTGTCAGTCACTCATCTGGGAAATGTACATCTACAGTTGTGGTTACACGTAAAGATTGAGCTCAGGGACTTTATGCACCATGAGAGGCATTAACGACCGTTGTTGTTTTAGGCAACGGAGTGGTACTCCAGCTGCTTTCATTTCCACCCTCTCTGTTGGCTGTGTATGGCTGTCACTTAGGCTGACCACACCATGTCATCCTGTGAAATCAAACATCTCTTGCTTTTACTCTGGAGGAAGCTCTCATGTTTGCCTGTGATTGATTAAGCCAGTGGATTAGGGCAGATATTCCGTTGGTACTTCCATGCTGATATCTAGTGAGAACCTCCCCTACCACCACCACTACCACCACCCTCCTAATACTGCAGGGACAAAGTGACCCCCTTTCCTCTCCGCTGCTAGTGATAAGGCCCCCATGTTGTTTGCACGGGGCAGTAAAGACGTAAAGATAAAGGCCTGTGTCTCTCACAGTGGGAGTGTTCAACCTGCAACTCAGCCATCAAAGCCCATCTGGGTCGCCTGGCTGCTGCCTCAGCTGCTCCACTCATGCATCAATACAGCTCCGTGTTCACTCTGCTGGTTGTCATAAAACCTGTCAATATGTGGACCGTATCTACACAGCACACATCAGAACAGTCTGTTTCCTAGAAAAGCGTGGCAGCTGCAAATGATGAATTTTGGGCTTTGATCAGAGTTAATAAGTTCAAACAATGACTCCCAGATGGAAGTTTATTGTAAAAGAAGAATCTGTCAGTGCTCAACTTTTGTGTTTTTACAGTCAGAGAAATTGATTTAACTTATAGAATTAGAATAGATTTGACATCTGACATTGAGTTTTGGTTTCTTCATAAAAAACATTTTGAATCAAAAGTCACTATGACAATTCTTACGACAATTTCTGACATGGCAACCAAACCTGAGCTGTTTTCATTTTTTAACTTTGGCGTCGCCAAGTGGTACTTTAAAAAGGTCACTGATCCAACCTGGGGACAATGTGAGTGAATGGGCTGAAAGCAACACATAGACTGCATCAGTTTTCACCAGCACCTGCTATCTGCATCATTTGAAAAGTTTTATAATAATCACATGTACGTTTAATACATAGTGGCTAAGTAGAGGACTGCATTGGGAAAAGTGAAAAAGATGGCACTTATTGACTCATTATCTTATCGTTTCTCGACTTACAACCAAGGTTATTATAGTTAACTAAAACTAAACTTAAAATTAAAACTAGTTGTGAAAGAACATTGTAGTTAACTGAAATGAAAATAAAAACTAGACTTTAGAAAACAACAAAAATTGAAATGACTTTATGTACTTACAAAACAAAATAAAATAAAAATATACAGGAAATGTTAGTTTTAGTCTTTGTCAGTTTAGTCAAACTTGTCAGAACAACAAGCATGAGGAGGCGTTGGTGCATATGTTTATCTATATACCATAATACTAATTCTGAAATTCAGAATTTTTTCCCCTGACAAATACACCCCATATTATTATTAAACTAAACTAAAACTAACACTGAAACTAATAAAACTAAACATTTTTAAGCAATAAAAACTACATTGAAATGAGCAAACCCACTCTGGAAAGTAACTGAATTGAAAAGTAAAATTAAAAACATTTAAAATATTTAAAAATAATTATACCTCAACATTTGCTCTATATTCTTCTACTGGCAGAAATGTGGTTTTAACAGAAGCATATTCAGTGAAGAGCGTTAAAGTCAGATCAATACCTATCCAAAGTTTTACTTTGACTTTAACTTTTTATTTGTAAGAGGAAGAATGGCCTTTTTGTTCTTTTAAACATTACATAGTCTAATTTAAAATATGAAAGGCATTCATATTTGCAGCCGGGCAGACTCTTAAGGCCCTGTGTCGTTCTTTTCTCATCTTTTCAGTTGCGTCTGAGGAATAGCTGCATTATATGACGCCAGACCTGCTCTTTAGCTCTTTAAAGACATGAAAAATAGAGAAAGCAGAAAGCAATAAAAGCACAAGCCCTGAAAAGACTCAAGGTTATTTGCAAAGATGTGTTGGCGGCGCCATACGTCATCGAGAGTGGTGATAAAACGTAGAGGGACAGTAATGTGCCACGACACAAACACAGAGAAAATCCATGGTGTTGATTTTAGGGCTTAAACATCAATATCTCAATGTGCCAATTAGAGCATGACAGAAAAAATATCCTTTTCTCAGTGGGAGGGAACAAATGTAAGAATTAGAGCACAGACTCATATATCATTGTTACTCCTGGACACAGAGAGAGCACCAAATGAGGACAAACTTAACGAGACGTAGAGAAAAACAGAATGGACGAGTACAACTAAGGACAATAATCACTGTCTCATCCTGTAAATCTGATTATCAAATATGTGCGTCAGCGGCACAGATGCAGCGGTCCTCTCCTGACAGCGCTCACAGCCAGGAGGAAAAAGCTCCACACACACATTGAGATGAGCTCACAGTGATGCAAACTGTAACGCTTACACACACTCCCTGTCTCCGTCCACTCAGGAAGAGTGCTAACAAAGTGCCTTTCTAGTCGAGCTAAGACATCATGTTTCTTGTTCACTGCGAAGTAGAGCCGCATTAAAAATGAATGTGAATCTAAATTAACTGAGGCATGTAACAGTAGCAAATGCAACTCGTTCGACACACAGTGGCTTCCCATTTCTTTGTATTTGTGCCTCATGGTAAGTGCCACCCTTTATTCCTGTATGTGAAAATGTGCTGGCAGACCAGATGCAATTATAGTGTAACAGCGTCTGCTTAATGCATTCTGGATCAATTCAAGGAAATGGACACTGGACAGAAGAGATGACTTTCGACTTTGCAATCTGGGCTTGTGCAAATGGGGCCACAGTGTCAACGCTCTCCATCATAACAAATCTCTCTATGGCAACATCTGTCTGTTTCCTTTTTTAATGGACAGGGGCAGTGCAATCCTTCAGATATTTTTAACCCGTGCCATTTTGCAGCCAGACCGCTGAGGAGCAGCCTCTGTGGTTTTCAGGCTAATTTATATACCATATTCTGTCAGTGCTGTAGGTCTTACACTGCACTAGGCAATAACTCTGTGTAAATCATAAATATAGATCACATATTTAGAGGCTTTGCGTCTGGGAAATTTTGTAATGGTCAGAGTTTAAGAACAAGTTGCAAAACCTGCAAATACTTAACAGACATGATGTCACCTAATTCCTGGGTAATGAAGGCCTTTAAATGTTCAAGACTAGTGTAAAGCTGGCTCACATTTACATGTTCTTTATGTCTGTATTTGCTGCTCAGCTTATGTCCAGAATGTATCTTAAAATAATTAGAATAGTTCCTAAACATAACGAGGACACTTCCTAAAGTGAACGAGAATACATTAACTACAATATGTACTACTATTACCCGGAATAAATCCCCCCCAAGAAACAGAATGTCATAAAATAAACCAGAAAACGTCCTGAAGTTAATCAGAATATGTTCCAACAATTCACATCTAAATAAACAGCAGTCTAAATGTTTTTATACCTGAGTAGTGCTGAACCAGCTGCTGCAGTGTGTCAAACTGAGCCCTGGTGGTGATGTAATAGCCGCCGCTGTCCAGCTTGCGGATCTTATAATGCTTGACATGGTCACCTTTCACATCGTCCCAGTCCCGTATGGACAAGGAAAAGGCACCTGGGGGAGACACAATTCAGTTCAGTCATTGAACATCAAGAGCTTGTCTACACAAAACCAATGATTGATGATTATCAAGAAAATTATGATTTAAATCAGGAAACATTTGATCCAAGAAAAAGTGAACAAGACTAAGAATCTGATCAAGCATTAAGAGCTTGCTTCAAATACTTCTTAAAACTAATATAGAAACAATTTGTTTACAAAAGGTTCACAAAAATCATGTGGGAAATATCCAAGCGCAGATAATCGAGGTAATGTCTGTTGAGAAGAACACGGCAGCTGAGAACATGCTAAGAAACGTTCAGTACATGACGTAAGTTAAGAAACGTGACGTACCTCATCTCATGTGAGTTAAAAAATGTTAGGTACGGGATGGAAGTTAAGAAATGTTACCTATGTGACACGAGGTAAGTTAAATAAATTACGTAGTTAACATTGTGAAATGATCACAGTTTGATTAGGTTTAGGAAAAGATGGTCTGGGTTAAAATAAGTACCTTAAGTGGGTGGATGGGTAAAACAACACTTTCACACAGGAGACGAGGGTTTGATTCCTGTGTGAAACGTTGACTGTTTTAAGAAAGTAGTTACTTTAACACTAATTCTTTTTTTTTTTTTAAGTATATTTTCTTCGTCTTTTTTATGCCTTTATCTGATAGGACAGCTGGAGACAGACAGGAAATGGGGGCAGAGATAGGGGATGACATGCAGGCAAAAGGGCCGGCAGTCGGATTCGAATCTGGGCCGCTGGCAGCAAGGACTAAGCCTTGGTACATGGGTCGCCAGCTCTACTCACTGAGCTAACCGGGCGCCCAACACTAATTCTTTAAATACAAATATAAATCTCATGTGTACAACCAATCACACTGCAATCTTTAGCATACTAATTAGGTAGACTTAACACGTTCTAGCCCATGGTCACAGCATTAGCTCGAAATATTCCACAGTAATAACACTTTCAGGCTGATGGGAGTGTTTACCCCCAGAGGTAGTGAATCTGGTATAGCATAAACACACCCACACTTACACTTATAGTCACACAGATTGATAGCGTGAGTGTGTCTGTGGTTTTACCCTTTGTGGTTTCACTCTCCCGGATGAGATAGGTTCCTCGAGGGTTGCCGGTGGACAGCAGCTGCCTCTCTGCATCCTTACGGCCCAGTTTACCAAAGTACCAGCTGCAATTCCAGGAGAAAACATGTCAACTCAGAGTCAGAAGAAGATTCACTGCAGCAACTCCTCCTACTCTCACTCCATTCTCTCTTTTGTCGTAAGGCAAATTTATTATACTTCCAAGGTCTGGAGTGTTTCCGTAGTGTATGTCGGATTTTGTTGGTGCCCTGAAAATAAATCCTTATATTGACCTTGTGACTTTTCCCTCAAGTAATCTAGAGCGCTACTTCCCAAATAGTGGTCGTCAAAGCTTCACAGGGGGTTGCAAGACCTTCTTGATTTTAACGCTATTTTTGTCAACAAAACCGGGACTTCAGCGCCACCCTCAGGACAAATTTACATTTTTCGCCCCATGTGGGATGTAACTAGCCTGGTAACCACTAGGGAGTGCTAGTGGGGCTTTACACTTTGAGCTTTGCTGTAAATAGACCATGCCTATTAGTTTGTATATTAGCATATTGACTCTAAGACAGTAACTAGCATGTCATATGGACTGTGACTAGTTTAAGGCCTGCCTTTAGATCAGTGCATAAGACATGCATTAGTGACAGTTTCTAAACCTGTAAAAAATACAATTTTCTACTTTTAATTCATAGCGGGGGGATGTAGAAGTCCAGCAGATATGTTTCTCAAGAAACTGCAACCAAAACCAAAGACCAACAGTATGGTAGAGGTTACAGTTAAACCTTACTTTTGAAAGTGGTTCTCACATTGACTGAAACTACACTGAGCCTACCTCTCTGTTTTTAATCCCAGCATGCTCCAGTGGGCTCATAACAATATTCTGTCTGAGTGAACTGAACAAATCTTTATTCAGAAACTACACACACAGGATGAGGAAGACTGACTACTTTGTATTTTCTTATTCATTCCCATTCAGCATATGTCAGAGGGAAACTTAGTGGTTTAGGAGTGTATACATGTTAATGCTAAAAGTGTATGCACTCAATGAACTGTAATAACAAATCCCCCACCAACACAGTCTGGCATTTCAAATTGTAAAAGCATCTCCTCATGGTGTTACATAAATGTCATTTTATGAGGCCAGTAGAAACATCCGCCCTGCAGGGAGAGTAGAAACTGAGGAATGAGGAAGACTTTTTCTCCTGAAATTTGTTTCTCAGTATGTTAAGTCTGTACATGTGTGGCCTCGCGTCCACTAATCTTAAGCTACTTCAGACTGTGTTCTAGATGATAGCCACTACTCCTGGACCTATATGCTGTGGGTCTCTGAGGAGCACACACACACACACACACACACACATACACACACACACGCGCGCTACTTACTCCTCAGCCTGGATGGAATCCACTGGAGCCACGTAATTACTGGGAATGTAGCCGCTGCCACCGGTGGTAAGTGAGCGAGCATCCCACCAGTCGCCTTCACTGAAGGAGAGGGGGAGAGAGAGAGAGAGAGAGAGAGAGAGAGAAACAGAAGAGGCACATTAATACACTTAATTTCATCCCAGCTGACATGCTCTATGCCACTGAACATCAAAGCACAGCTTTAGTTTGACTTTCTCACTATTAATACTGTCCATGTGGAAAACATACAGGATCAGTAAAACAGAGGGCAACATGTGGCTGTAGAGAGGCAGTTTAGGGTCTGTTTAGCCCTGCAGCCATGCATACTAAAAATTTATAAACACATGTTTACACTGTATGAGCTAAGCTTTTTTTTCAGGTGGTCACATCAACAACAAAAACAATATTGAAAGGTAGCAGGATTAAAAAAAATAAATCTCATACTACCTGCCCCTTCTAAGATAAATAGATGACATAGACATACATGGTCTGGCAATACTTGCAACTACCTTTTGATACAAAATATTAACAGAAAACATGCACAACTGGCTGCAGCACCAAAAGTCTGCTCAAAATAAATATTGCATATGATTATTGAAGCTCTATACATTTTAAATGACAAAAATTCAGTTTGAAGATTGATATCATTCTCATGTCTGTGTGGTAAATGCTGAGCTGCAGTCAGGACGTGGTTAGCTTAGTTTAGTGTAAGCAGCTAGCCTCACTTGATCAAAAGTGAAAAACAAAAACAAGAAAGGGGACAGCACCTATCAACATGAACTCTAAATGTCCTTAAAATGTAGCAAGGCATATCTTGTTTGTTTAACTTGTACAGAAAAACACCAAAAGTTCTGGTTTTAAAGGGAAAGCCATTTGCTGTAAGTGTTTGTAAGCTAACAAAAGCTGCGTGTAGTGTTCAACAAGAGAGATGTTAGCTCTAACATTTAGCTCCCTCCAAAATGACATGCTCTTATGTTTAATGGACTTGTATTGGCTTATAAGTATTGACAGGCCAGCTATGTCTATGTCATTTATTTTTTAATTTGGCCAGAGGCTAGTTTTTCCTTCCCTGCTTCCAGTCTTTATGCTAAGCTAGGCTAACCACACCCTGACACCAGCTCAGTATTTAAAATACACATGCAAGATTGATCTTGTTTGTGGAAAGAAAGCATACAGCTCAAGTGTTTTTTCTACTTTTCTACTTTTCCTACATTGTTGGCACCATTTTTGCAGCCTCTGCACTCAGTTGCTGATGTGTGATGGTAGTGATACATGAATTAAAGTTTAGCCGCTTTGAAAAACTAAATGTCTAGAAAGTCAGAAAAAGGGCAGGGAGGGAGAAGAGTCCTTAAAGATGTCCCCTCCTGGACGCCTGCACAGCCATTAGTGTCTTCCTCTGATGTCCTCTGTGCAGCTCTTTCTCACTACCCTCCAGCTCTCTTTGGGCCCATCCATACTCTTTCATCTGTCCACTCATCTTCCATATTCCTGCCTACCTTAACATTTCTTATATTTCATCTTCTCTGCCTTTTATTTCATTTTCCATTTATTTGGCCACGTTCATTTGAGGTACTAGGGACTGTTTGAGTTGCAACAAAAACATAAGCATGAGAAATACATAACGCTTGGAAATTCATTTGTGATCTGTCAGAAGGTTGATATTTGACAGAATTTTAAAAGAATTGAAAAGTTTAGTGGCTGACTGTGAATTCCTATATAGGGGGGGCATCCAAAATGGCAGTCTGACAATCAGCCAACTTAGAGGAGAAATCAATCATAAAACACTTTCAGTCTGATACGTTATTTGGTGTTTGTTTTGCTCCTGTCAATAACTGCTCACATTTAAAAGGGTATGACGCCACCTAGAGATATCTCCAGCACAGCCATGTTGCACAGATTGTGTAAAGTAAAAGTCAATATGAGTAACTCTCAGTAAGGTGTTGGTCCACATGAACCTCCAGAACAGCTTCAGTACTCCTTGGTATAGATTATCCAAGTCTCCACAACTCTACTGGAGAAATAAATAGCAATCATCAGATATTTTTAATGTTTCTCCATTTTTAAGGTTTTTCCTTTAATTTGTCAACCATCTGTGGTTTGAGAGGGGACAAAACTTAAAGGTGGACTGTAAACAGCAGGTTTTAGTGTGTGTCCCCAACAATCTGAGCAAGGGTTTCCCTTGTGTGTCAATTTGTACACCCACAGAAGCCCATAGTACTGCGACTGAGGCGACTGAGGCATGTGACTCGGGAAGGTCTTTATTCCCACAGTTGCCCTTAACATACACAAGGCCAGTTTACTGACTTCCATGATCTGAGTTGTTGGAAGTCCATGAGAAATTGAGGAGAACATTCAAGTTTATTTTTTTGACTTCTATTAAATCCAGTGAAATAACCAAAACCAACAATGAACTGATCCTGCAAACAGCAACTGCCTGATATACTGTATTCCTCCAAAAACAATTAAATACGCTGTCTAAAAACATCACTGAGCCACACTTTTGCACCTGACACCTTCCCTTCATTACCATGAACACACGCTGTCATTTATTTTGACATTAGAGGCATATTTATTACAAATTTTAAACTAATTTCCAAAAGGTTTAGCAAAAGAAAACACAAATGAATGCACTTATGAATTTTGAGTATATCAATATACCAGATTTTCCACCTGAGCTAAATGTAAAAATGTTCTTGTGATATATACTTTTTTGACATTTACATTGCCATTTCTTGGTCCCCTTTACTAGCCTGGTGCATCTACATGTTTTGACAGATAAACACAGGTCTCAATTAGATGTCTGGATTTTATAGAAGTTCTCTGGATGCATAAAACTTCTTAAAGCCCACCGGGTCGCCTGCCTGAGCGAGCTCTAAGCTGCTTAGATTGCCTACACGAACACAAATGTTTAAACTTTTGCCAATATGGACATGCTACACATTGTGAGATCAGTTAGATTCTCCACAGTTCCAACATTAACCATGAGCACCAAAGTATCAAATGCAGTGACTGAAGCAGATAAAAGCCTGGGCAATTAACTGAAGTTTTACGGTATTCACTAGAGCACCAAATTTGTATTAATCCACCAATGAGAAGAGTGCCCAACAAATGCACTATTTGCTCCAGTTTGCGCAGCACTACAGTGGTCAGATAGTTTAGGAACACTTTTTAAAAATAAAAACCATTTGTGACCCATTTTTAAAAATCACCTTCCTCAGTAGCAACTTCGGGCTTCGTCTGAGTGCCACAGGTAGGGTGGAGTATTGAGAGATGGACTTACACATTATTGGTTTGGTTCTTTTCATGGGATTTGTTGACAAGTAGAATGCATAATAAATGGCACCCTTTAACTAAAGTAGAAGTAGATAAGGCAGAAGACAAGCTCTAAGTTTTCTACACTTATGTTCTATTACACTCCTACAGTACAGACACTCTCCCCTCATTTATCTCTACTTCTCCATCATTTCCTTTCCCCCTTTCCTTTCGCCGTCATTCCTTCACTCTCTTCTTCACACACATTTATATCCTTAAGGGACAGCTAGCAGTAGTGGTTTTCCATGGTTAGAAATGTTTTCACATGAACACACAATCACACATGTACATTTCCTTCCCCTCACCCCTGCGATTTGACAATGTCTCTCTGACACACTGTACCACCCGGTGCTTGTTTTTATCACATCGCTCACACACCAGGAGGGAAGGTCTTTGGGTGTGTATTTGTGTGTGTGAGAGAGATGCTAAAGAGACAGGGAAAGGAGGGGGAGGAGAGGCGTTGCTGGTCCTTCATTTATGCTGAATAAAGCCATGATGGGGGGATCGCCTCGGGACGACATCCCAGCCAGAAACCGGCCTGCTTCTCTTTGTTCATGGAGGATCCCTCGGGGGGGAGGAGGAGGGAAAGATGGAGTCTCAACAATCTGCCTTCTGAGAGAGAAAAGTATGCAGTGTTTGTGTGGTGTTCAGATGTGTTGGTATGTGTGTTTGTGTGGAGCTGGAGAGACATAAACAGGCGGGGCGGGGTGGGCCCCAGTCTGTCCCGCTGCCTCTTTTGTCTCCAGAAACAAACCCCCTTAAACCAACTCCGCTCTGCCGCAAAAAGACAGAAAACAACAACAAGAGTAAACAAAGAGCCTCCCTCCTGTCTCCAAATGGATTCAAATCCTCTCTCCCCGTGGTGACTGCTGATGAGGGAATAATTAAACACAACCGCGTTGACTGAGAGTTGTACAGTACAGGCAGCCATTCACAACACCACAGTGTGTTTATTCATAGCCTGCAGTGGAATCAGAATAATACTAATTTAATTTACTAACAGTGTAGACTTGTAGCATTCTGTAAAAACAGGAGCTATTTCCTGATTATGTCTGACGAAGCTTCACAATAACACACTCATGGTGGGTTATAAAAAGCCTGAGCTGAATGCAGCGTCTTATAAACATTCAGGGATGGAGGCCTGTTTCCTAGAGGATGCCACCACAAAACAAAAAAGGGACAACAGTGCCTTGTCAGCTGAGGCAGTGGTGCTGGGATCTCTGGTGGTGCTGCTTCATGTGAGCATCTGACAGTCACTCCCTGCCAGCCAGGCAGGAGCAGACCAGGATTTTCGGCTTTCACCACCTTTGTCCAGCAGGGGTCAGTGTGGCCGGCTTGAGGAAGCCCTGGTCCATATTTGAGGCTGGTAGAAGCAGTAAAGGCGTTGGCGGTCAGAGGGAGGTGGAGAGGAGAGGAGAGAGGGAGGAGGGGAGAAGATGCAGCACTGTCTGGCCCCTGCTGAGGAGGAGGAGAGGGACAAGACAGGAGGAAGAGGAGGGAGTCTAGGCTCTAATGGTAGTGTGTTCCTGCTACAGGCTGAGGCCCAGCAGGGGCCGAGGTGTGTGGTGGAATGTGTAAGACAGGATGCTCGCTGGGTGTGGTGAGGAGGAAGACTGACCTTGCAGGGCCAAAGGCAGCCATGTACAGTAGTGAGCTTTCATAATTCATTAGGAGCTGCCTCATATGGCATTAACATTTTATATCTGAGACACTGTATGTTTGTGTGAAAGCACAGCAAAGCATCAATAAAGCCACTAATACAAACACTAGTGCTGCAATAATAATAATTATTAGTTATTAATAATAATAACTACTTTTGTGTGCTGCTTTGCCCTGGATATAACCTCTAATGGTGCAGACACGCTGGATTCGTTGACTTGATCCTATTCACTTTCTATGGAGAGCAGGAGATCTGGCTGCGCGGTGAATGATGGATACACTCAAATGCTCTCAGAAACATATTTTAGTGTGCTGTTTAGCCATAGGATTCAGCAGTCCGGTGTGTTCAGATGCGTCCTTGCTGGATTCTATGTGTCTGTACCATAAAGCTACATACAGGCTGCTCTACAGACCCATTGCTGGGATTTTCAAAATGCTCAGTCAATCAGTCATGTCCTGTAAACACCCCACCAACACCAAAAAGATACTTTTTTTCCTAATAATTTTCTATGATGTTTCCTGAACTATGTACTTAAGAATAATGATTTCCTTCTTTTGTATTAGTAGATTTTTCATCAGCCTATACTATATCCACCATGTGTTCACCTCCCAGACATCGAGCCTTGCACTCTCACCCCATAAGTCTCATTGGTGGCGGTTCCTGTGGCCATACGTAGGCACTACCTTACAGCCTCTACATAAATCATCTAATCTATATTTTGACTTAACAGTTTTCAGTTTGTAATTATAATATACATTTTTGCTTTTGTGTAGACTGTGGTTACTTGTTAGAAATGGGTTTACAGTTTAGCCTATAATTTGCACTTGGAGCTATTTTATATTCAAAAGAAAACAGTTTATTTATAAACAGATAAAAAACTATATTGTACTTGTGTAATCCATCATAGAAAACATCACGTCTACACTGTGATTTTACAATCAGTCTGCACTTACTGTGCATTATCAAGCAACAACAATGCTCTGATTTGATTATACAACTCAAGCAAGTGTCAATAGCCTTCCAAGTGATTTTCATACCATGCAGAAATATATAGTAGTAAACAATCGCTGTCTGGAACACTAGTGCAAGTACCTCTGCTTAAAATGTATTTGAAAATGGTCAGCAAAAATAAGTATTAACAAAACTTACTTACTATACTGATATAAAAAGCATTCCTCATAATTTCAGTTTTGTTTCACTTGAAGAACAAAAAAATGTATTCATTGTGAAACTAAACCTAGGTCTTATGCTTAGTTATCCAAAATTGATTTTAAATAATAGGGCTGCCATATAACACTGTCACTCCACTGGCTGTGTGTTCACCTGTTGGCACAGAAATCAGAGACATAGCAGTGTAGTGACAGCTACATACAGGTAATCAGCTTAATGAAACAGTGGGGTCACATTGAACCTGCCCACTCTCTGCAGTACTGTACGGTACATGCACCCAGCAGCTTAATTACAATGAAATCTAAAGGAGAATAGGGTTAGAGCACAGACCCAGCGGGCCCCCCTGCCTCCTTAAATGTCAATGCACCACTGCAGAAACCCAAACAGAGAGGCAGCTGAGGGTCGCTCCAGAAAGCCTGAGACACAGCCTCGTGTAGACAGAAAGAAAATGAAAACCATCCGCAAGCTCAGGCCAGGATGGTTTAAGAGCTGGCAAACGATCATGCCTCTCCTTCCATACACACATGCTGGTCGTCTGCAGTTCCGCTGACTGGAAGAAAGACTAGCCAACATCACTGTGGGTGTAACAGGGCACTTCCTGTCCAAGCTCAGAGGGAAATCTTGGAGGAACACCGCACTCATCACTGCTGGCTGGAGACCCGGCTCCACCCTGTGTAAACCCTAAATAAACTGTGTTTACTGCTGATTGTCAAATTGCATGTTCAAGTCACCACTTTAGCCTCATTTCAAATGCTTTATACTCTTGTATATTGTACTCGGTATAATGTTGCTGCCAATTCTGGCTTTTTTAAACTATTTTCTTTGCATTTAAGCCTAAAAATAAAGTTAAATGATTCCGTTGTCAATGTTGGGGCTGCCAGGTTGGTTGTAACAGCTGTAAAATGTTTCTATAATTTTATACTTGCACAAACTGAAGTAAAGCAGACTTATTTTGGGCTCCAGCCTGCTCCAAATTATGAAACCAAAACACTTCTTTTCCGTGTTCAAGCTGCCACTTTTACCTCAGCTGAAATCCGACGCCCTGTCTGCACCCCTCCCAGCACCAAGACAGTGATAAAATGGGAAACTCGCATTCCTTCCGAGCGCAGGCAGTCTGATAAGCAGCTGTGGCAACTTACGTGCTGTTGATAATCTGGAACCTTTCTCCTTTCCTGAAGCTGAGGTCGTCTTCTGTCCGCGCCTCGTAGTCATAAAGTGCCACAAAGAGGGTGACTCCTGCAGGAGGGGTGAAAACACAGTGTCAGCGCTGGGCAGATTAGCAAGAGAAAATTAAGCTCAGAATCATGTTTAACTGGAGAGGCACTGACAGCTGCAGCGCACTGAGTAAATAGGAAGCAATGGCTGGCTGGAATTTAAGTCAGTCATGGTGAATTTAATTCACCATGACTGACTTACATAACTCATTTAATGATTGACTGACTTACATAACTTTTACAGGTGGTCATTGATGATCAAATTAAATGGAAACAGGCCACCCAGGAAGCAAAGGATATTTAAAAGGTGCTTCCCAATAATGAAACCTATTACTAGAAATGTTGTGAGATTTACACACTTATTTTATTATTATCTCCCATTGTATTTTATAGATTTGGTACAGTTGCATTTTGTACAAACATTCATGGTCCCCAAAGAATAAAACATCATAACCTTGGTTTTATTTCTATCTGGTGCAATCAGCATGTCAAACCTTTTAATTATCCAGTGAAATATCTCAACATGATGGATTGGGACGTAATTTGGTACAGATATTCATAGATCTCGGAGGATCAATCCTAATGACTTTGTTGATACTCTGACTTTTCCGCTGGTGGAACCATGAGGTTGACATGTTAGGTTGTGAGTGAAATGTCTTAACAACTATCAGATGGATTGTCATGGAATTTGGTACAGACTTCTATGCTCCCCCCAGGATGAACTGTCACAACTTAGGTAATGTCCTGACTTTTCATATAGAGCCATCATCAGTTTAGAATTTGTCAAATACTTTAGTTCATGATGAAACTAAAACTAATCACATTCCCATCAGGCTTAGCTGCACCTTCATTTAATGATAAGAAAGTGCTAACATGGAAAACCAAGATGGTGAACGAAAAACATTACATGCTACACATCAGCATCTTTAGTCTGGCATTGCCAGACTATGTTAAATATGGATGTGTTAGCAAATTCAACAAAGACGGTTTATCAGTGGCATCCATCTTGGTTGTGCACAAAAATGTCTCAACGGCCAATAAGGTTGTGCTCCTCTGTACAGTCATCATCGTATCAAACTGACCCCATATTAGATTAACGTTGCGATTGGCCTGACCAGATACAGGACTGGTGGAAATCTGTCTGAATGGGAGGTTGGCCAGACGCTTCTGCCAGAGCAAATAAAACATGAGTTTACAGATCTGTCTGGTTACCAGGCTACAGCCTTTTAGCATATTCACTGTGAACATGTTAAAGTTGGGGCTTGCTCGAACAGAAGTAGTTTGTAGAACGTGCATTAGCTTAAAGCATTGTTCTACCTGCAAGTACAGGCCGCTAGCGTCACTGTAGATGTTTAAGATGTCAGCATGCTTTACACAGAGTGCTTGTTGGGTCATCTAACAGCATCTGAAAGCCCCATTCAGTGGCTGCCCAGTTGGAGTTGTAGTAGGCAAAATCTGAATTTTCCTTTCAAGCTCTATTTTTCAATCCTTTACAGGACTACTTTCTTAACTTTTTGTGTGTACAAATGAGTGCAACACAACAAATGCCTTTGACGACTGCCCATTTGCACAATTCACTGTGTCAAGTATACAAAGACCAGCAAAAGACTGAGAATTCAGTGAGGGAAATGAGGAGGCTAACAGCATGCTTTTTGTTTGGCATTCGAGTATGGTCATTCACGCCAGCCTTTAAATGTGGTCTTACAAACTAGTTACTTTCAAGCATATTAAACTTCATTTGCCTTGTAGTATTGTTAACCTTCGCCCTCTGTAATTATTTGCCACTACAGCTTTCTTGTGGTAGAATTGGCACCATAATGGCAGAATAAACTTTGCAGAATCTCAATTCTTTCCACAAAGTAGCTGAAGTCACCTTCTCCCTGCTGAGTCTTATCCCTTCTCCCTCATCTCCCTCCACTAATCCAACTAATATTACCCTCATCCGAGGAACAAAAAAAGAACAGTAGCACTTTTCTCACAGGAATATTTTCTCACTCCTGTTTATTGCTTACCTGTAGCAAACGTGATAAAGGCATTTAGGCTAATTTAAGGATGTGTTAACAGATCGCAGCAGGAGGTTAACAATACAAATGAAACTGTGAGGTGGAGAAAAACAGTGTTAAACTTCCCTTTTAGGTGTGTTTGGTAGAACGTGAATATAAAATTGGCAAATGGCTGACAAATATAACAAGACAGTTCATGATTTGGAGACATGGCAAAAAAATAAAGTCATAGGTATGTGTCCTGGGACCCAACTGAAGCAGTTCATCCAGGTCTGATTTCAATACTGCTTCAATTAAATTAATGCAAAATGTAAACTTACACTGGATAGATCATTCATTCTTGCTTACTTTTAATTGGGGTGACAAGGTTGTATAGTAGTTTAGGAACTCCATCTGTAATTGAATTATAGAGCTCTCTACTGGTTGACCAGCTAAATCATAGCTAAACATTTCAGTGGCTTTGGAAAGGTGCAACATTGCCCTTTCATGCAAGTCTTTCTGCCTGTCTGAAGCAAATCTACCATCTGAACCGCATGTAAAATCCAGCCTTAGAGGGCAGCCATGAACTGCTTTGACATTGAACTGTCCAGCGACAGACGCTGGGATATGGGCTGCCTTAGTCCAGTTTGACCCCCTTCCGACAGCCTAAAACTTCTAGATAAGGACCAGTGGCCTGAAAAAAAAAACGTATCAGCCATTCCAGCATTATCTCACCAACAAAGCTACTGATGTACAAGACTGGGAGAATCACAGTGGAGGAAATAGAATAGCCAGTGTTTGTTTGCAACAAGACATTGAAAAATGTTTTTGCACACTTTTCGTGCCAAAAACCTCAATGTAGCTTGAGGTTTATGCCCAATTTCCATGAAGCAGATATCAACAACCTCCCTCATGCTGTGGCCTCTCTAGTGATAAGAAAAAGATTTTCACACTACAGCAAGAGAGTTGTTGTGGAAAGTTGTAAAAACCAGCAAAGTGTGAAACTACAGTGGGTTACAAGAGGTTATGTAACGCTTTTGAATGCACTAAATACAGCTCTAAGTGAATGAGGCTTCATCAGTCAGTGGAAATTATGTCCATCCTGTATACTTTTTAGACTAAATTAGCAATAGGGTGACAAAAAATGACTTTTTAATTAAAAAGTATTTACATTAAGGGTTAGGCAAGTGGCGCTTAAGCTCCATGGGTGCTCATGCTATGTATGTTTTCAAAGAGGCTTTCTGAAGCTTGGATTCTGGATTACTGTTGAATGCCATCTTGTCATACTGAATTCAGAAATGTTTTATGTGGTCGACATAGTGGAGGTGAGGTGGTTCGAAGCAATCAGAAACCACTACAACAAAGTAAACACACTGACAATCAACGCTATTTCAAGCATTTAAACCGACAGCATGGAAAACATTAGAAATCATGTACTGTACTTTATATTTGTATTAATTCTCCCACTGACTTCAATACAGTCTGAGTTTTCTCGAGAAGGATTCTTTACAGGAACTGAACCTCAAAGCACTTGTGGATTGGCTTCACCACTCATTCATGGTGGTCAGGCAGGAGTCACGGCACATGAGCACATTGATTTAAATGAATCAAACTTGGCATATGTAGCATATGGTACCGTTTACAAATGGTCTGTAAAGTGCCATCAATGGCATCCATTGATTTGAGCTGTAAATCTGTGAATAAAATTACAAATAAGGTGGTAGGAGGCTTAAGTTTTTTGTGACGGTTTTATGAGGGATGTCAAGATTTTCAAGATATTGGGATGTTTGCCATGTATAACAACAGTGCATAAACTAGCTAAAAGAAATGACAGCATAAAGATGTAGGGATATTAAACAATAGTACCAGAGAGTAATCAGAGAGGAAGACTACTAAAAGCTCTGGTTAAAGCAAATTAGTAGACCTTGAATCAATATTATTTTGTCAAAACTACTATATCCAAGGTCTGCTCTGGGTTTGTTTCCAACCTGTCTGACTGCTTGCATTTCTTTCAAAATTAGACTTTTAACAATCTGTATTCCAAGATCTTAGATCTCTCAGGTCAAAATAATAAAAAGTATGTAATAAACACAATCCTTTTAGAGGTTTATATGCCCATCTATCTCACTATCTTAGGTTAGTTTGATTTGCCTTGTTTCAAACAGAGCACACGAGTGACGAGATGAGACAAAAACAACACTGAAACTGTTTTGCTCGGTCCTGAGGTGACCGTGGCTGTTAAGCTGCTTCATGCCTCTGAGTGTTTGACAAATGGAAGTTGAATGGGCACTTCTTCAAAGTCCACTTAAACTCTCTTGATCGCAGTTATTCCAGTCATTTCACTTTAGACACTTTCACCAGGCTGAGGCTTTCTGGGGAACAGTGATGATATGAAGAGGCTCGTGCTGATGGGACTACAGATAGAGAGGACCTGCTGCTATTCATGTGACAACAAACAGAGAAAGAGGAGATCAGACTGTTGAAAACAGAGTGTTCGATTAAAACACTCTGGTTTTCTAACCTTCAGGACATAACAAGGCCCCGAGTGCATCACAGCTGTGGTTTGCACCGTTCGAATATTCCATTAGGTCAGCAGAGGTGGGCGCTAGGTATAAACTAATTTATTGACTCATTTTAGAGTTGTCTACTGGGATCCTGCTCAATTAGTTACATAAGGTCACAGGACTAGCTGTGAATTTCCATTTACATCAGCAAAAGATCAACTGATAATCAATAAGATGTCAGATGACAACTGCAATTTGAGTTCCTCTGCAGTGGGGTGATTGCAGCTGTTAGGCAAACAAACTAGGCAGCTGTGTTATAACAGAGGTTTGAGAGGCAGGGGTGGCTTATGTCCAAATTTCTCCACCAGGAGAAAATTAAAAAGCTAAACCCCTCTCTGCTCCTCTGCCACTGTGTGGATTTAGATTATACAACGCAGAAAATAATCCACACTTTGAGGGAGAGGACTCCTGCTAAGTTGAGTGGAAATGCTGAGTTCCTCCGCAGAGCAGCCCAAGCTCAGTCAAACATAAAGGATATCCTGAGTAGGAATATTCCCTACCTAAACAATGAGCCCGACACACAAAGCCCCGCGCTAATGCCAGCCGGACGTTCCTGACAGGGCCGGGGTGGGGTCGGCAGTGGAGCTATAGCAGGGGGCCAGTGAGGTGAGGGTTGTCAGGATTTTGGGATGCCATAAGAAGTCTTTAACTGCACAAAGAATCCCTAAGAGTTGGTGTGCTTTTGCATACGGAGGTGTATGTGTGTGGGCAGCTGTGAGCTTTCACTGGGTGCATTCAATGCCGTAACTGTGTGGGAGAGAATTAAAAAGAAAAGACCTTCACACTTCAATAATGTGTTGCAGATAGTTTCCTTCTTCTGACAAACATTAAAGACACATTGCTCTAAGAAGTACCCTTCAAATTAATCACTTCCTCCTTCTGTGTTCTTTGCAAAATACCAAGTGTCTCTCCTAGCTTTTGCTATCTCTCATAGCTCTTGATATCGAATGGCTTGATCGATGGCTTTGACTGTTTATATTTGTTTGGTAACTACAGTGTTCTACTTTTTGTCGTACTATTTTCTCAGGGTAGTTCCACTGCAATGCTTTCTTTATCTGTCAACAAACATTCACACCTGGAAACCAATACAACCACAGTCTGATCTGTTGGCCACTGATAGACATACCATTTTTAACATCCCGATTCAGATTCCGATACAAGACCTTTGCATATCATTGCTGTATGACTTGGCTCAGGTAAACCCTTTTGTCAGAGTCAGAGAATGGTGGTTCATGACTTCACGGCAAACGGGAAAACTGCTGGGAAGAAGCAGGGTCCCATTTCGGGGCTAATAAATTACATGATATCAGATCGGTGCATAGAAGCGTACTTGGTGATACCCGACATGGCATTTTAGGCAGTGTCAGAGGAATTTCCAAGACTGGTATCAGTGTCGGTATGCTGGTATCAGTATTAGAACCACTCTAGCCACTGAGCAGCTCCACTGGTACAGTGGAAGGTCAAAGGTCTTGCTCAAGGACACCTCAGTGGTAGTAAACTTTTGAAACAATTTGAACTTCTCTCTCTCAAGCTCTCTTGTGCTCTGTTATCGACTGAATACTTTTGCTTTAAAACACCTTAAAACACATCAGTCCACCTACTTAATTTGAGCCATATTAAAGTCATAAAGGCTGGTCTACAGGGGTCTCAGCTGCTTTTTTTAGTTGTCCGTCTCACGGCTGGGAACAAATAGTCTTTGTTGTGCTATATGCAGAAAATATCTATGTTTTTCTTCAGTTTCACACACTTAACTACAGTGACTGTGTGTTGGAACTCGGGTGATGCTGTGCCTGAATACATCCTGTTAACTTGCTTTGGAAAATACATGAATTATTTGATTACAACAGGAATGATGTGCTAAAGGCAGAATCCCTATTTATTTTTATAAACCTCATTATCATTCTCTGTTTGCCATTTATCAATCAAGTTTGCACTGGGTTGCATATGTACAGGTCCAACTGAAATTAAACTGAATTTTGTGGTCTCTCCCAGCATACACATTTCCTCTAAATAGATGGGCACCTTATTTTGATACACCCAATCAAATCTGGCAAAAACAGTAAAGTCTTCCTCTTATCAAGTATTTCTGGTATTTCCCCAAAGAGCTATTTTCTTCCTTTAAATAATAAAAAACTATTAACAATGCATTTGAATAACAGGTTATTTCTGACTACAAAAGGGGAGAAATATGTATTTATATGTATATGTAATTTAAGTTTATTTTTCATATTTTATATTTGAGCAGAAAGTGCAAACAAGCATAACATTTGGATTGTGAATGATTTTCACACTTCTGATCATGACTGTTCCTAACTGAGCGAACATCACGTGTCCCTTACCTGTCCCGCCACGGGTCCTAAGGGTTCCGGTGTGAGATGAAGTGCTGACCCCTCCGAAGACGGTCATCCCCTGTCCGACGGGGGCGTGGAAGTTATTGTAGTTGGGGATGGCGGTGACCCCGAAGCTGGGGTAGTGCTGTGGCGTGGGGTCAGCCCCATAGCGGTAGCCCGCTCCCTGTGAGATGCTGGTGTCTCGGTCGTCTGTGAGTTTGGTTGCTTCCTTATCCTTGCATTGCACACAGCCCATTATCTATAATCTGTGGATGACATGAGAAAAAAGGTTGGTTTAGATGAAACTGGTTGACTTCAATCGTAGAAAGAACATGGTAAGAAGATACAAAACGCATTACTAGAGATAATATAAAAGATAGCAGGACTACAGCTGATATAAAGACAGCAGATAGACAGGTTGAGTGTCTGTAAAGGTCCATTTGGATCATAACTCTTAACTGGACGTGACAGTGGAAGATCACATCAAACAAAAAGGAAATAAAATGTGATAATGGGCGGGAGAAATAAAAACACAAATAGGCCAAAAGAGCCTCAATGCAGGCAATGAATTCAACTTATATACTATAAGGTGGACTGGTGGATCAATAAGATGAAACATGCTGTCTGGAAGAAGAACGAGCAGACAGAAAAGCACTCGCACAACAAACTGAGCTGAATTTATCAGTCTCTCCAAGGTTTTCACTTCACACTGCTTTCTCCACAGATGACATCCTTTCACTGATTAGCACTCTGGCCTGGGAGGCAGGGACCTTTTTTTATAGCCCGACACAGTAGCTTGGTCTGTGGATGAATCACACAAACAATGTGTCTCTTTCTCGGTCAGAAGGAATAACGGCTCCTATCACACTGATGTCAGGGGGCCAGCCAGAGAGCAGGGGAGACATGGAGGCATGGCGCTGTGCTGTCAACATCACCCTGTTGATCTTAATGGAGGCTGGTGGGAGGACAGAGTGTTGGCGAGCGGACGCTGGTTTTATCATGGAGCCGAACAATCAGTGTCAGCCTGAGCAGACAGAAATTAGAATCCTCACCTGTCGCCCACATGTTGGACGCTATCAAAGAAGTCAACTCCATCCTTGACGATGCAGGATACCTATAAATTATATCCCACAATTCTCTTTTTATAAAAAGTTCTACTGCATTCCAGAGAGCTGCAGAAAGCTGCAAGTCCCAAACTAATACTTTACGAGCTGGAATTGACCCTTCCTAAATCCGTTATTGCTCTGTGCTCCAATGACAGTTGAGCGAGCCTCGGTCTGAACCTCAGTCAACTTCTCCTTTCCTGTATTTAGGTATGCTATGTGTTAGACTCATCCATGTTGAAAATACTACCACATTTTGAAGCTGGTTGAAAGACAAAAGCTACATAAAGTCACATCTGAACTTGGCTAACGTTAGTTAACACTAGCTAACTAATCTGGAATAATAGCCTGTGGCTCAGGAGGTAGACTAAGTCGTCCACTAATCAGAAGGTTGGTGGTTTGATCCCCAGATACTCCTGCTGTATGTCGAAGTATCCTTGAGCAAAGAAGAAGAAGAAGATATACCTTATTGATCTACTAGGGGGAAATAGTTTTTTTCACTCTTTTTTTATACACACACACAC